ACTGCCGGTTAATAGACTTTTTTGCCGTATGAGTACACGTGGAGGTAAGTCTATCGCACACCCCTTTGTGAGAATATAGTGTGAGTTCCAGCACGCAAATTTCTCCTTAAGTAGGAGCACACAACGAGGCGGTTGTCTACTTTGAAAGTAAGCATTTTACTAATCTCCAAATTGAAATTACTTCAAATTCTTTTGCCAAAAAGTGAACTATAATTCAATAACAGTCAGTACTGATGTAAATGCATTGATGGTTGTGCAGATTAATACCGAGTTCGTCATTGATAAAAGCGTTAAATTATTCTCGGCTACCTTAAAGACAAAATTTTTTTGAAAATTTCCTACATTCCAGTACCATTTTAAAAATTCGAGTTTATCACGAACCATTCAAAGTCTAAACCCCACTCCTCCCCCCCCCCCCCCCCCTNNNTAAACCCCCCCCCCCCCCCCCCCCCCCGCCTATTTCTCCTTGCATCTTTAACTGTTTCAACAGATCACTTGTTATTATACTAAATATAAATGAGAAAAGAGAATCTATTTGCGATGACGGTTATTTATTCCACAAAGAATTAACAACAAATTCAACAATTAACGACTACGTTTGCTGGCAGTTCTTCGTCAATTTTGTTGAAGGCTATAAAAATAAGAAAAGAGACTCATTTTACTTGAATGAAATTGATAGAAACTCAAAGGAAAATGTATGTATATATGTATGGCACTCACAGTCTAGGGCCATCTGCCACAGTTCCAGAGACGAGGAAGGCAGGCATTGCCACAGCCACGTCCGCAACAGCCGTTGCCGCAACTAAAATTTATACAATTTGTGCTTAACCGGAAGTCTACTTAATCGTACAGTCAGTAGTATCGTAAAATGATATTTACCATGAACCGCAGCCACCGCAGCCACCGCAGCCACCACAGCCACCACAACCACAACCACCACCGCAGCCACAACCGCCGCAACATCCGCCACAACCATTGCCACAAGGTCCACAGCAATTGAAGGCGTACCCGCCGTAGCATCCATAGCCGGCGTAGGAGCTAAAAGTCAGAGCTTGAGTGAATCTCGCATTTAAGTTTCAAACGATGCTTTCATCATGCTACTACGTTCAATATAATAACAAAGTATCTAGTTCATTCCTTCAAAGCTCATAGATGCATTCCGTATAAAATTTCAAAGAAAATGAGTTTTAGAACATACTTGCAACCAGTCCAACTGCAAGGATCGTAACAGCCCATGATTTCTTTCTGAGGAAGTGAGTGTGAAGAAGAACTGATTTGGAATGTGGACTGGTTGGGGTTTATATACCTTGGCACTGCGTAATAATTTTTGGAATTGCGTAAAAGAGAAAGGATGCCTTGGGTATTCAAGGCAAAGACAAGTGCGCACTTTCTCTGTGTGAGAGGTGACTTACTTCTATTCACACATACTCTCGGTAGTCCATGACTTATTGATGAATCAGTGTACGTAGTGAGATTTTCATTCTATCACCTCTCTATTGTGAAGCAATAATAGTAATAATACATCCCATTACTGTCTGACTAAGTTAATGAAATCTTATTCATTTACTTGTTATGCGCTGAAATACAACATAATGACTTAAGAGGAAAAGTGGGTTTATGCCTAGGAAACTAAGCATGAAATTATTAAAAAGAAAAGGATGACGTTTTCCACACTCTTACAAAACTATATATACCAGATGTTTCTTATACACTTTTCATCAAATATTTCAACGCTTTAATCATTCCTATGTCATGCAATGAAATTTCAAATAACTCTGGAAATTAATATTTTGGGGGCAATAAGTTTAGTTTTGCTCATTGCCGTTTTTGAGCTGTTTATCTATTACTACTTGGATATTCTATTCAATGACTCCCACCATATTGCTCAAATTATTTAACTTTCGGTCTTAAAATTCACCACATAAGTGGTAAACTATGTTTTTAAAGTAGATCATGTTTTTCCACAGGACTTTAGTGAAAAGATTTATTACTCCATCATGGAAAAAATCAGTGTTTTAATTACTTTGAGTAATTATGAAAATGTGTTTGGTCGTACGAATATTGCTTGATAGTTCTTATTACTTAACACTTTTTAATGTATTATTTATTTCGGACATTTTTCTTCTTTTGGCTGATATTTAGAAAAAATAAAGCAACTTTTCTATTCTTTTTGGCCTAGGGCATTTGTGGAGTTATTTTCGAACCAAAAGTTCAGGTTTCTTAAAGTCCACAGTTATTTTGCATTGTGGAAAACGAAAGTATTAAAAGTACACTTCAGTCCCTGCAATAATGAGAAGCATTCCATGAAACGGTAGTCAAGTGCATTAGAAATTAGAGCATCTATGGGATATCTAACTTTAGAGTCGCATTTTATGCGAGTGCATTTTGATTGCTTTAAAATTAATTAACTGTCAATAAGTACCTTTACTTTATTACATATTTGGAGGCTTGCAGAATAAGCAATATATTAAATTCAATTTTTTAGAACTTTTCTATGACGTAGACTTTAATCGAGGTGTGCCCTCCCTATTCTTACTAATGTGGCATGCTACGTATGATATTGTAAGTAGGGAAGATAAAGCCATGCCAAGGTAATTGCCATTCTTAAAAAACCCTCTGTAGTGTATACTAAAGAAAAAAACAGCCGAATGTATCGCTAACAAAGAAACTGGTTGAAAGCAAGCCTTTTGTAGCGCGCAAAATAATGTAACAAATCTTCTCACATAGGGTTCTAGATATATTCATGTTTAGGTTGGATTAAAAGTGAATTTGAATGATTTTCCACGTAGCCAATTAAGATTTTCATTGCGCTAAGAAAATAATAACACAAAATTCAACGAACGAACAGATCATTCGCTTTTCGTGCCTTAAGGGATATACACTGTTTCCGATCAACAATATGCCATCAAACTATAGCAGAGAACAACCGAGTGCGGTGAGCAGAGTTTAAGGGAAGGTATTTCTAAGGCTTGATCCAATGACCTTTACGTGTTTATTTATCTGTTCTGGACTCAAAGTCTCTTTTGGTACACCTTCAAACACTCTCTAGACAAATCATCTCGAAACCAATTTAGCAATTCCTTATTACGTAGAGATCCGAATTATTTGTGTCATCTTATTTTTCCTTGTTCCCTGTTTGATAGATCTCTCTCAATACAACTCTGCCTCTTAACATCTTACTGCAAAAGACTATTTCTATTTGAAGTAGCTACGACTTAAAAAGAATGAACAGAAAATGCGAAGAAAATGCTTTCATTTTCGTGCTACATTCAGGCTGCAGTAGACGGAGAATCCAACAATCATATCGATGGTTTCAAAAATATAACCTAAAGTGTTTGAACTTAACCCGTTTATACAAAAAGTGACCTATCTGGTATATGCTTCACTAAAAGATTTGGCATATACTCCACTAATGCACAAAGTAGACAAGCATAAGCATAATGTTGAAGACTCTGCTTAAAAGTCAGAACCATCCCATATGCCATAATTGCAACAAAGGGATTGGTTAGAAATAGCGTTGTTTGTTGATCTCCGATAACAAAAAAAAACAACTTTTATTAAGTTTTTAAAGGAATTTCCTTCCAAGCAAGTAGCTTTAATTGAAGATCGAAGATTGCAAGTAGGGTAGATCAGATCAAATACCTTTAAAATCTCAGAATCCTTCCGCATAGATAAACAGTTCTTTTAAAATAATTTTAAAACTCGACTTTGTGGTAAATTTTCAAATCATTAAATCGTGAAATTTCTAGTCTTTACTATGTTTACCCCTCTTCACTTATTCACAGGTTATAAAATAAATTAGAGTTGGTATAAACTTTTAGACTAAATAGCTACACACCACAGTTAAAGTGTTGAACTTTTAATATTCGATCAATTAGTAAAATATGTGGTTACTACAAAATTAATTGTGACCTCAATTTACAATGTCCTTGAGATCAGCTGCGAAATTCATTGTGACGTATAAGACCAATCTTCGAATTTTTCAGGCCAATTAAATGCGGTGGTAAATGAGTTGAAAACCTTTCTCAATTTGAAGTAGCCCTTTGATTCAAACTCTTCTGCGAACTTGGCTGGGAAGTTTAAAGGTTAAATGAACGTTTTAAAAGATAGTACAGAGCGCCATCTTGTAGCATAATTGTTATTTACTGACATTAAGTTGGCAAAAGTATTCGGTAGAATTTAGTGCAAAAGACTTTGTCTATTCTTAGATCCACGGGATATGAGATTGAGGATATATATATATATATATATATATATATATACTCGTTTGTGTCAACAATAACTCTTATTTTCATTACTTGGGGTTAATCTATTTGAACCTCATGAAATCACAAGTTTGCTTTCTCTTTATACTCACCCTATTCAATCTAATTTACTTGTTATCGTAAGTTACAGACGTCATTATAGTCGCTCTAATTCTTTTTTGAGCAATATTAAAATCCGCTGTTCTAAAAGACCAACAGAAGAATTAAAGTTTTATTTTACTAGTTCCATATTAGAAAAAATAAGCGAGGCATAATGGTGGCTGCAAACCCAAAAAATTTATATTTTCTATCTGATAAGTTTCCCTAAATCATTTAAATTCATAATCGGAATGAATTCATATCACTGCAGATAAATTCCCGGAAGATATATTGAAGTACTGATTCTACAGCTAGCTGCTACACAGCCCAAACAGAAACAAAAATATCTAATTACTCTCAAAAAATACCACGTGCAATTGATTAAAAAGTTTAATGCATTTCGTCTAAAATGATAGAACAGTGGGTTAATCTTTGACCATTTGTTTTATAAATATTGTATGGAAATCAATCTCCTTACACAATAAACATAATTGGCATATCCAAAATAGTTTCAAACAACCAAATAATCCGTACAGCGTACTTACTACTACTTGAGGTAGTGAAGTGAAGAAATCAAAAAAGAAATTATATTAACATTAGAAAATGCTAGCTATATCATAAAAATATCTTTAAAGAAGTTTTCACACTTTAAGAGAACCGAACAAAACATTTTAGGTAAGTGCAATTAAAATTTTCGTCGAAGTGATTTACAATTTATTAGAATTTGGTATAATTTATTAGTACATAGCCTAATCGAAAAATTTGACGTAAGACTAATACTGACATTCATTTTTCAAATTTGTTATAGAGGAACAAGTTTCACAGCCCATATTAGCAAAAACAGCTTAATAAGTTTCGATAAAAAAGATGAATTTGCGTTCTGAACCAATTTTGACATGAATAATCGACTTCAAGCAAAATAAAATTGGCATATAAATAAACCGTTATGAATTTGTTGTAAATTTTAAAAAGAAATATTTGAAGGAGTGGTACTCCGGAAATAAGATAAAAAAATGATTCGATGTTATAAGATGTTAAAGTAGATAAAATTATAGATTCGTGAAAATTAAACAGTAATTTCTAGACTAAATTTACACAATAAAACATATAGAAATAATTTCAAGATATACAAGTTCTCATAAAGATAGGTGACATTAAAACTGATTTGTTATTTTCGATCACGTTTAAGGTTGTTTCTTGGCGTTATACGGCGCGTAACATGTACCTACAAATAAGACTATTTAGCCTGGGTGTAGCGTGCCGTCTTTCTTTCGGCAAACTTTCCACATGACAAATTTTAAAATCAGAAAGTTAACTCTGGGAAATCGGGTCATCGATAGAAATATAAAACGAAAATTATACTGTCTTAAAATACGCAGATTCGTTAAATTTCTTCTGAGTGTCCGTGGAAAGACCCAGTTATTTTTGTACTCTTTGGGTCGGCTAACGTACAATGCCATCCTCAACTCTGGCAAGTGGGTCAATTTCTTTATTTGATATATTATAGAAAATTTTGAGGATTTGTCATCAGATCGTCAGCGGGTCATGGCTTTCATGTGGATATTGCTCACCCAGCATAATTTCACAGAAGCAGCTAAACTTTTAAAACATACAGTGCATAAGTACGATCTTTCATCGTCTTGGTTTTGGCAAGTGGCATTTCATCTTTTTAACGTTATGAAAACCCCTTACTCAACGGACGGTATAAACAAGTATTTTCCATATGGGTTATTTATTTTTGATTTGCTTCTAGAATTCTGTTTGACTTCGCCTTGCTTGATGAAAACAATCGAAAGTTGGAGGCGATTCTGTCGATGATACAATGCCGTGATTGGGATGCTGCTCTTCAGAACAAAAATCTTGTTAGCTAACTTTTTATTCCATTTCCCTATTGGATTTTTAAAACAGCCTCTTTCTAATTTCTATTTCAGCCATTAAATGTGACCAGACTCCGTGATTATTCTAGGGAACCAGAACACTTACACGTTTTAAAATTACATCGTTTATATTATGGCCTCTCTCACTTTGCTACTTGGGTTGAACGCGGAATGTCTGATGGTAAGTGCTTCTATTTTCATCTCATTATTTCATTTTTCAATAGACTTCACTTCATTGAGTTATGGTGGGGCTGGTTCAATGTTTGAGAGTGTTTCGTCGCTCATTAACGCCGGTGATATAGTTGATGTGTTTCTTCGTCCTTATATGTTCGTAAGTCGCCTTTATTTTCTTATTTTTTATATTAACGTTTCTGATCATAAAGCCTGATGCTTTCCTCTGAATTACTTATTATGACTTTGATTGATATTGGAATTCACAAATATTGGTGTCTGAAATTAAGTGAAGTAACTTTTCACATGGTGGTCATAGAACTTGTCTATCATGTCAAAGGTCACTTATTCAGTACTCATCCACTGCAGAGAAATGACTTTTTAGAATTAGCAAGAGCATTCCTATTTCTTACTAGAGGGGCTTCTCTGGTGGCGCAGTGGTCAAGTCGGGGTTCACATCCAATTGAAAAATTAGTTATGGTAGGTAAAATTGTCAATGTAGTTCAAAATTTACTTAATTTTTTTACTAATGTAGAGTGTTTTCTAACTTTTCTTTAAGTGATATTTAAGTAAAATTGTTTTCAAACTCGGTGAGCGATTTTTGTCATCTTATTTGCTAGACACCAATGGGCTTACGTTCTAGCCTATGTGCAGAATAAGGCGAGAAAATACCCAGATGACTAATTTATAGGCCTTTACTTCTTGTAGTACCTCAGTACAATTAATTCCGTCGTTACAGTTCTTGAACTCCTTGAGACCTACGCGAATAAGCGTTCCTATCATCCAAATGTTTACCGATATCTAGCAGAAGGATACCTACTTTCTGCTGCAAATTCAGGAACTGCCATCCCTCGTACACCAATTGGCTTCCGTAATGCTATCAATAACGATCTCACAGATTCACCAAACCTACAAACCACAATTGACAATCTCGTTAAATACTCCCTTAGACTCCTCCCGACTGTTGCTCCATCAAAATGGGATCGTGGAGATAAGAATTGGCATTATATGATTGCCAATATTTGCCTTGAAAATGGTAAGTGAATATGTACCAGCCTAAGAATAATTTTTTTGTTTGGCTAAACTAACCCATTACTTGTTGGGCACACTACGCACTGATCGCGTAGCGATTAACACTAATCGAAATGATTGCTTGTTCTGCCTAAATCCGTTCCAGAGGTGGTAGTCCCTTCTTAAAGGCCTCAGGGTGCTACTCATTTATTTGATGGGGTTACTAGAAAATTGTTCTATTTTAATATGCTTTGTTATTTTTAACATTTGTTGACCAGTTGCATTCTGTTTTAGTGGGCGGAATGATTGACCACATTGATTAAGTTCGGCTAATGTAGACGAATTAGGAATTCTAGTCTCTTACCACGTAGGCTTCACTATGCCATCGTCTACCCAAGACTTTCTCTGGCAAACACTTTCCTAAAAGGGATTGAGAATTATTGGTTGTCATCGCGGTTCGCAAGTCTTATTTTCCCTGATTGACTTAAGTTTACAAACAGGTCATAACAAATTTGGTATTTAATTTGAAACTGAATCGAATAGTTGGAGCATTTTTCTTCGAAAAGACATATTTTGTCATTAAACTCATTTAACTGAATATATTCTGCTTAAGTTTGTATCGAGAGGAGAATTTGCGTGCATCTTCAACTGTTATCGTTTCAACTACGAGGCCATTAGGTGTTAGTAGCTAAGATGTGTTGTGAATAGTAATAAAATTAATTTTCCTATACTTTTTTTCAGGATTCCCTGAAGAAGCTCTGGAAATTGCATTTTCCATGTTGGACAATCCATCCTGGTGTCATTATGATCGTGTTTGGAAACTTCTAGATAGGTGCCTATTGGTAGTGGGGTTGGACAGTTCATCTTTATCTAACCTCTGGTTAATTCGAACCTCCAGTTGGAATCGGTATCTTTTTACAAATCCAAATTTGTCTCCTGATGCAAAAGATGTCCTTTTAAAACTCAATCAGATTTCGGTCTGTTGTTCTCATATTGAAATCTCATCCGATGAGTCGGATTGTGATTTGTAATATTCATTTCATGCCAAATGAAGATTTATTTTTGCCACTATTCCTTTGGTCTTTTTCTCCACTCTGATTGACTATCGCTCATGCATTTAAACAAATTTTTTGCTTTAGATTTAGTGCAATGGAGACCCTGCGGGCTATACCTGACTTTCAATTGAATTTCGACAGAATTTCCCAGTATTTTCAACATGCAAGGGGTCTATTGGCTACCGAAGCACAGAAAACTAAGCCTATTAAGGAAAAACCTGTAGGACAAGTGGCGGAAGCTTCCATTGCAAGTTCTTGTGTTTGGTAGGACATCTAAATTGTTATATTTCTCCTATTAGTTTAAATCGAAAAATTTACTTTCCATATGAACGAGTTGCGGTCTATAAACGGTTATTATCAAAAATAACTACGGAAAGTGAATCGGATAACCCTGAAGAGCTTCCGGAATTTCAGGAATTTCTTCAGCTTCATCGTCAACTTCAAAGTGCTCAAAAGGAAGCTTCCAAGGATTTGGTGTCTTTTTCGCCCTGCGGACATTTAGTTTTGCCAGTAGACATGGAGGAATTCTTCCTTGAACGTCTTTATCAAGATCAATTACTTCGGACTCCTAGCGGTGTCTACAAGTTTGTGAATAGTTCACAGTTTCAACTTGGTCGAGCTTCAACAGCTTCATTTTCGCATTTAAAGAGCTTTGGTAAAGATTCCACATTAGCATCCTTCTTGCTAAAAGAGAAGATCCTTTCCTGCTCCTTAACTGTGAAGACTTCTAAGATAGCTGAGGATGTGAGCTATAAACATGCAAAAATTTCACCAGAAGTGAATATTATCACCACTGCTGATGTATTAGTTGATTTTGCCAAGTATTTTGACTCCCAGACAAAGTGCTACTTTCCTGTGGAAATCATTCAATCTCCATTTGGTATGTTGTTATTTTGCTCGATAAATATCTCTTCTATATCAATCAATTTGCTTATTTGAGTATTTGGCGCTAAGAATGTGTTTTATTGAATAAATTCACACATTTTGAGCCTACATTCGACTGTCTTCAGATTAACTTATTTATTTATATTTATTTATTTCAAATGGCAGGCTTTATGATATTTATCATTAGCCCTTAATCTTTGACTTCAGCTTCCCCCAAGAGGGGGGGGGGGTACATTTATAGCAGTTAATTGATAGCAGTTCGTTAGCAGTCTTCTTGCTTCCCAGTATCTTTGGCTTTTCGTCCTTGTCTTTAGAGCTGGGCACCGAATCAGGTGGGTCTTCTCCATTTCCTCATGTAGGTTACATAGAGGGCATGTGGGTTGAGTGTATACTCCCAATCTGTGAAGGTGTTTTGCCAAGCAATCGTGTCCGGTACGTAGTCTAAACTCAGCAACGGCTTCGATTCTTGGCCAGTCGGGTATGTCGGAGAGTGCCACTGTCCACTCTTTCTCCTTTGTTCGAGCTTTGAGTTCGTTGTACCTTAAGGTCTGGAATTCTCTCCTGATTAAGGCCTTCATTGTGTGGAAAGACATGGGCCGGTCCATGCATTGCAAAATTGTTGTCCCCTTCTTAGCAAGTGTGTCAGCAATCTCATTGCCTTTAATGCCACAGTGACCAGGAATCCATTGCAGGACCACTGTTTTGTTTTTCTCTCTCAGCAGCTCATAGAGTTTTCTACATTCCTTTATCTCAGCTGTTTTGGGTGTCTCTCTGTTTCCAATAGAGTTTATTGCTGACTGTGAGTCCGAAAGTATCACCGCTTTGGTGAATTTCGTATCCAGGCAACATAATTGGCGTAGTGCTATCCTAATGGCCTCTATTTCTCCTTCAAAAGCGGATCTGTTTTGTCCTGTTGTTACATAGAAAGAGAAGAGTTCAGAATAGACACCTGCACCAACGTTTGCTTGGTTTTCTGTGTATGACCCATCAGTGAAGACTTGGAGCCATTGATCTGCAGGATAGTTGACATTGATTGTCTCTTCAGATTAACTTATTGGACGAAATTTGGTTGATTCGATCTTAGCACAAATGGGAATTTCATCATAAGGGGCCGACTCAACATGTAATACAGCTTTTGCATTTGTGATCGAGAGTACAATATGGACTTCAAGAAGCATCTTCATTTATTCGACTTAGGGAGATTTTACATCTGTGATTTTGCGCGATGTTAGGCTTTTATTTGAATGTCTGTTCAAATCCGCCTCTGCTATCCATTTGGCGCTAGATAGCACGAGGGCTCATTGTTTTGATGTAGCAAAGGTTACTAGAGTCCACTNGCTGCGCGAATTTGGAAAAGAAAGTGACCAAGTCGATTAGCAATAATTAGAATTATTATTTTTAATGTCTTATATATTGCTATTAAAATGGCGCAAAATTGTGCCGTTTTGTTACCAACTAAATGCCAATTGCAAATGGTCACAGAAGTACTATTCATATTTCAGATACGGACAAACGGATAGCTCTCTTAACCAAACCTTTCTTGGCGGAACTACCAAAGGACAACCGTTTGAGAACAAAGGAATGCTACATGACACTTTGCAGAGATAACCTTCTAGTGGCTCCTCCGAAACAACCTTTAAACTCACCTAAACAGATTCCTTCTGGAGCCATGAAAAGTGACTCTTCTTCAGATGAAGAGGGGCCTAATCTCATCATTGATGACATTCCTGTTTGTGAAGCTTCAGTTTCTTTTAAGTGAGCCCCTATTTGGCTATTAGTGAGCAAAAAAGCTCGTAGTGCAAAATTTATTTTATCTTGATAATACGGAGTTTTCGGAAAGTTCACTCACCTGAAAAGCGGTTTTTGGGGGTTAAAGGTTAAAATGCACTCGTACAGCTTTTCCTCTGTTTGGGGCTGAAGTTTGACTTTCTCCATACGGAGCGAGTCATTCCGAATACATAATACGTGCTTTCTAGTCACACACGCGTGTGTTCTTAAGTGAAATATTTTGCTTCTATATTATCGCCCATGGGCCTTATTCGGGTGAGCAGTTATTTGGTTCCAAAAATAGTTTCATGAAATGAAATTTTCCGTCCAACCGCCCTGGGTGGATTTTTAGAAAGCCCTATTACTGTCGCTTCTGATAACCACAAGACAGTCAGTTGGTGGTGGAAAAATTACTCAGATTGTTCGTTGTTCTGTTTACAGCAAAGTAGCTTCCTATTCTGTTTAGTAGGAATACGGGTACGAAAATGTTCAGCTTATGAGCAAATTTAAATTTACTGGTTCTCTAATGAGTTTTCCAACTTATAAGTGACATATCCTACAAGAAAATTGTTTTATATTTAGAATAGCTGGTTACTTCTCACTCATCTTGTATCTCCTCATTTATTTAACCGTTTTGCACAATCCTTTGTAGAGCTTACTGATTGACCATATTTGGTTCTAGTCTCGTTTTCTGATTGTAGTTAATTTTTATTTAACACCCGATTATGCTACTGAAGACTTTCTCCTTCAAATGAGTTATGAACAAAGTTCATCTTCAAATATTGATAATTATGCCAAAATTGAGTCTGTACCACATAAATAGTTGATGTCACACAAACTGAATATGACATCCTTGTGTTTCAGAAATAATTCCCTATTTCCACAAAGCATGCCCTTGAAAACTATTTGTCATTATCGTATATTAACCTGTTGATAAGTGGTTTTGTCAATCATTCATTTTAGTTCTCCTACGAAAGAATTTAGTGAAATTCTTAACCGTTGCTATGTTGTGGAGAACACAGCACGTGACCTGAATGAAATTGAAGTCCTAGATGAGCCAGCTTCGCCAGAACCATCTTCACCACCTTGTACACCTTCTCATCCCCCACCTTCACATTCCCCAGTTCCGCCCACTCCCGTTGTTGCAACACCATCGCAATTGGGTTTGAAATATTACTTAAATTTGTGAGTTTGCTTGATGATTGCTAATAGACCTGCCTTTTATCTCTAGGGGAAATAACTTGCAACCGATTTTGGAATCTCTTTAAAGTGGGACAGCAGCGGTTACTTGTCTCCTCGTGTGGTGTCAAGTTGTCACCGGACTCGTGTATTTTTAAGGCAGATTGTCCATTCTTTCCAAAATGCACTGAACTTTGGCCTGGTTCAGGTCCGGATTACAGGGTTAGTTTAATTATTACTATCACATGTTAACAGATACTATCGATATTAATACAAGTGTCATTGGAATATTCTCTAGATAGTGCATTTAGAAGTTCGGCCCGAGTATCTTCAGCCTTGGGGCTGTGAGGTCTTGTCAGAAGAGGAAATCTTTTTGTCTCTGCTTGGAGCTCGCCTTTCATCACCTGCTAAGCCGACAGTACTTCGCCGTGAGTTTTGTGATAAATAATTTCTGTGAGATGCAAATAGTGTACCAAGTGTGGTCTAAATGTTTGGAATATAAAACACACAAAGGACACAAATTTCTACAATATCAAGGAAACCATAGATGGAAATAATGATAGATTAAAGTTACCAGAGTGAGTTGCAGAAGCCATGCTGCCTCAAAGGTCATTGACGTCTTTGCAGTATGGGGTTTAACCAAGCTTTGCTCCTACTCTATATCTGCACTGGTCCACTGCACAACCAGTTTGTCGAGTAAAGGGCGGTCTTTTGTCTGGGTTACCTTTGCTGGTATCAAAACGTTCTCTCAAATACTTCCCTTGAATTCCGATTCCACTTTCACCATGATTTTCATAGAGTAACAGTTTTATTGGGTTTCAAAATGCAATTTGCATCTTTCCTTTCTAAATTTATTTCTTAATTTCCTTAAGTTCGTGTGGAAGCCTCAACAGGACGAATAATATTTGCAGAGGTTCAAACAGTTGATCAACTTTTGCAATCGAATCCACATTTCAAGTGAGCTGTATTTTGTGCTAAAATTCATTTTCTATTTGGTAAATGAATTACTTCTGCCATTTGACTTTCTTTGATTTTTTCTTATTCTAGATTTGAAACACGTTTGGCTCGTTTAACGAACGTTTTTTCGCCTCTTTCTCGGTATGTTTTACTTCATAGTATTTCGTTCTCCCAAATTGCGCACGCAGTTAAAGAAATCCAACTTCTGATTTGTTTATTTATTTCTTCTACATGTTTACTTATTAATATAAGTAGGCCTTCCATTTACTCTCTTGTTGCTCCTATTTTTCAGTCTTCCCGTTGGGAAATATCTCCTTCCATCACGATCATCTTTTGTGGGGAATAAAAAGAAGTACCAAATCTACGAGTTAATTACTGAAAAAGACAAGTACGTTTTTTGCTTTCGTTTAATTTTGCGAAAATTTGATTTCGTGGATTATTTACTATTTTTTAATCCACTGATTACCTTGAGAAACTTGAGTTGTTGTACGAAATGCTCATTATTGGTTCTATCGCAACAACCGTGAATCTCTCTTTAGTTCACTAGTGGCAGTGCTATCGTCAAGAAATAGGTCTAGTGCTCGTTCGCATGACGATAAGGCAATTTTTCCTCACTATTACTTTCCTCCATGTTCCTTTGCTTCCTCTCCTCTTGAAGCTAATTGTGAATATACTTTTTTTCATCCCTTAACAGGTATTAGAAATGTCATTCTCATCTCATCAACGTGGTTCTACGATGATTGAAGTAGTTTAAGACAGTCATGTTTATTATTAAACTATGACGACGCGTTCGGGCCTAAAATAATTTTGTGTAGAGACTACGTTGTTTTGAACGCGCAATTCCTTTTATCCTTATTAACTGTAAAGGTTTTATTCGTAAAAGAAATGCCTCAGGGGTTCATGATTTCTGTGATATTCAATTTCCAAATTGATTTGAAATTTTAATATCATTGTACAACGGCTGTTGATCATGTCTGCTTTATCAAATCTTCAGTTAAATTTTCAGAAGCCATAAGCCAATTTAATACCAGTTATATTTAAATTTAAAGTAAACTTTTGTTTTCTTGGTGGTAATTATATTAGTTGTCAATTAATGGCGAGTTGTCTGTTTTAGGGGATATCCAAAATCTGCGATTGATTTGCATAAATGTGCGACAGAGATGTTCCAGGCCGCATCAAAAGAGTTCATTTCTTCCACAGAGGCGACTGACTTAGGAGCTACTTGGCGAGTGGTAAAACGGCTACCTCTAGACATCTACACTCCCTCAGGCATTGATGGTGAAAATCTTCTAATCCCAGCCATTGATACAGGCTTCCAAATGTCTCCGGTTCCTCATACTTCACACCCTCTTTCAGAGCATCCTATAATAAGGCGATCACTTAGAAAAAGGGCTGTACCTGCGGAATCAGAACAAACCTCACCTTCAGTTACGCCAAAGAAGCTAAAAATTGAAAGCCAGTAAAGAAGCCACTCAAAATATAACTGATTTTTAACACTGAAATAAAGGCGATTGTACATTATTTATATTGTAATATATGTGTATAGAATGTTATTTTTGTTCCCTTTCACGTGAATATGGATCATTGAGATGTATTTGACTATTTTGCATCTTTTCAGCCCTGTTAATGTCAAGAAACAAGTGGGGTATGCATATGTCAAAGTATGCACTTTCTGGCTTGATAACCACGCCATACTTTTGACCATTAATTGATCGGTTAGCCGCTTACTGACTTTGGTTGCTGATTGGTCGAGAGGCCCCTACTTTTGTCATGTTAAAGTAGTGTTCCCCACAATAGTCCCCCTCTATGGCGTTAATATGCAGCTAAAAAGTAACGAAAATGCTCGATAATTTGTCATTGGGCATAGTGTAAGTGGGTTTGGGTCTAGATGTGAGAGGTGTTGGAGCTACAGGGTTCGGAATATTTGCAGGAAAGAACTGTAGTGGTGGGATAGTAGGGAGCAAATTGTCTTTTGTAGATGGGGCGGCGGGGGGGGGGGGGTAGCGCTAAATAAGTGTGCTCTAACAACGGGTGCAGATGTAACAGGGTGGTCTGTACATGTCAGGTTTAACCTGTTGATACTCATGGAATCCGTGGTGCCATTACGGTCAAGAATAAAATATTTGTGCTTGCGTTTGAGGACTTTATAAGGACAGTTGTACTGCGGCTGCAGTCTTCCTCATTGTGTTGACTCGAACGAAAACGAAGGAGCATGTGGATAAGCCTTCATGAAAATGTGCTGACTAATCATTCCAACCCGGGGGGGGGGATGTTGGGAGAACAGATCTAAAATGATCTTTTTATCAAGCGGACCATGGCAAGGGGTCTATAAAAGCTTGATCTTGAGAGTTAAAACCATTTCTCCGAGTACCCTAATAGTTGCAACAAGTACAAATTCTGTCGGACAGCAACCAAAATCCTCCCAAATAGTGTTCTTAATTGAGAGGAGAAGTAGCGATGATGGTTGACTAAAGCTTTTAATTAAAACATTCGACAAGACCATGACTTCTGTGTGATAGGCGATCGAGCAGAAGTGAGTTGAACCTAAGATGTGATTTGACTCCCGAAATAAAGAGGAAGTGAATTTCATTCCTCCATCTGATTATGGATTATGATTATACCAATTAATGATATCCAGGGTTATATCAAAGCTTTTGCCATCGATGCTGGTTAAACAACATTTAAAGAAAACGCAGTCGGCCAGCAAGAAAAATGTTTAATGTGGGTTAACATGTGTATGAAGCAGTTTAATCGAACCAATGGACCTACAATATTATCATAAATAAATTGAAAACGGGTCTCAGAAAGAGGGAATCAGGAGAGTGGACTTAGGGTATTTTTGTGGACCTTGTTGGCTTTACAAGCGAGGCAGTTTTTAGCCTAAAGACTGACATCGTGTCAAATGTTTTCCCATATTGGTGTTCAGCGTAGTTGTTAAGCAAATGTTTGGGAGCGAAAACCCATATAAATGGTCGAAAATCTTCCGGCGGTATGGTTGAGGGGACATAGACCGAATGACAAATTTCCCTGGAGCGAGTGATGATCAGTGGGTACCCAAATAGCGTAAATTAAGGGTTTGTAGTCCGTGAAAATGGTGAATTGTTTGGCTTCCAAAATACGTTGGAAGTGTTTGACAGCGAGGTAGGTATTAAACAATTCCCTGTCAAATGTACTATATCGTATTTCCGTAGAAGTGGGTTTCTTTGAGAGAAAGGTTATGGGTTGAATTTTTCCATCAACCATTTGTTGTGAGAATGTTCCGACTGACACTTGAGATCCGCCGGTCTTTAAAGCGATGCATGTTGCGCTGGATATATCGATCAGATTTAACGTGGTTGCTCTAGAAAGTGTTTGTTTCTCTACGGCAAACGCTAGTTCGGCTTCTATTCCACCGAGAGCAGAAAACGAATACTCGATATTTCCGTGCATGAGGAATGAATTTATGGGTTTCCCTCAAAAAGCGCCAATGTTGCTCACTTGAACTTCCTAGCACAGTCGTATTTATATCTAATGTGATCTCGATCAAATGATAATAGCTGACCAATGAGCGACTAGTACTAATATCAGTCCCAAGTGATCAAGAGGAAGGTCGATGAAGATATGTGATAAAGTCTCTCAAAATATAGTTGAAAATTCCTTCGGGTTGACATCAATAGGTCCAAAGCTGGTTATGTCAAAGAGCAGTTTTTAGTAGCACAATGGAATTAATGAGAAATAAATGACCATTTGAAGAATCGATTAGGTAAATAGGTGGAGAACATTAAATGGGCTCTCTGCTGAAAGATCTACGCAATGGACCTAATTCTTAGAATTTGCTAACAGAAGATGGAGAAACTTTGTCAAGCTTCTGGCTACTATGCATTGGAATTGAACAGCATTATGGGTACATATATATCTAAAATAATTGAGATAGATATGAGCATGTATAGGGACAAATTCTTGAAGAAAGAGGAAAGATATGTGCTAAAAATGGCTTTATGTTTTAAAAATTGGCACAATGTCGACTGAATAAGTCAACTCACACATTATGGAAGTGACTAGGTAAGCTATTTTAAATTTTCACAAATAAATTGGATGTGTTTTGAATGGGGTGGGCAATATACTTACCTCCACGTGGTGCACTCTGGGCAACGTATACTCATGCGGCAAAAAAGTCTATTAACCGTCAGTTGACTTCTCATTTCGAACAACCATCACTCCCACTGTATGTCATATTCAACCCCTATCACAGTACTCATCTTACCCCTTCTGAGCTCTTGTGTCTGTTTCTTTTACATCTGTGAGTCACTCTTCTATTCCCCCTCCCAATTTCTCCCCACTTTGATGTACCTTCTCCTCTCTGTAAAGCCCTAAGTCAATTAAATAGCTAATGATAACGGTCAAAACGCCTGTTATTTGTTATAAATAAATAGTTACATATGTTAAGGCGTGGGAGTGACAAGGCAAAGAGAAGTATATTAACAAAATGTAAAATACACCTGTTTTGTTAAAAAATCTCTCATAAATAGATAGTTTAAAAAGTGCTCAAATATATATATATATATATATAAATTCATATGTCAAATTGATCATATTTAAATAAATATATTTGTTACGAAAATATGGACTTATTTTAATCGAAAAAATTAATAGATAAATGCTTTCACATTTTAAATTAATACATTAAAATATTTAAATTTAAATGCGCAGTTATTTATAATATAATTATAAAGTATTTGTAAGATAAATATGTTTTGTTTTCTCGACTCGTGGACTGCTTTTTAGTGAGCGGCGAGTTCAATTATACCACAAATTGCCTGATGTCCGAGTACAACTGCGCTGCTAAGGGTCCTCTGAAACTTAAAACGGAGGCAAAAATGTCCAAGCCGAAGAAAAACAAGAAGCATCGCAAAGATGACGCTAAAAAAATAATTGCAGCCGAAGTTGTTTCAGCTGAAAAAGAGCCCGTTCTTACTAAAACTGCGGCTGAGGTCGAATTCGAAAGAAAGAAGGAAAGGCGAATGATGGAAACAATTTTGAGCAAGGCTGAAAAATCGCACAAGCAAAGAATCATGGAATTTAATGAACAGTTAAATTCAATGAGCGAACATTTTGACATCCCCAAAGTATCTTGGACCAAATAGTTTTCTTGTTTCTTCAACTGCGATTGCTTTCTCCCCTTCTCACTTCTACTTCAGCTCCGCCTTACATTGTCTTTGTTTAGTTTGTTTATTTACAGTAAACGCATTTTTGTTCATATGTATGTATATTTTTGTATATAAATTTTACTACTTACCCAATTCACTCTTTTACAGAGCTTAGTCTTAAATTGAATTTTATCTCATTTTGAATCGACTTGCTACTAGAGTAATTTATTTGTCTTGTGCTTCTATCACGTATTGCAGGACAGTTTTCATGTTTGGGCCTTCGGTCTAGCAACAATGGGTACCAAATTTGTGCGCTAATGATTTTGGTTTTGGCGGTTTTTCATGAATGCTTTCAGCTCAGCGTTAATTTTTTCAATAACTATTTGTGCAGATGGCAAGTGACGCAATAGTTGCACAATATGAACCATAAGTTCATTGTCTTAATGTGGGTTATGTTATTATATCTTGTTTGGCCGAGTGTTTTGGCCTGCATCCGTGTTCAATTTTTGGGGTTCGTTAAATTTGGTCATTACTTTTGATTCCCATGCAAACTAGGAAGCAGACCATCCTTAATTCTAATTAACTGATAATTGGTAACACGCCAATGAACGAAGACTGCTTTTGGGATGGAACTGCGAAGTGGACCTTTTAGTTGGCTAAGCTAGCGACCATGCTGACCAATGGGAATGGTTCACTATTCATATATGAAATACATGTACTAATGTCTCTAGAGGATGGCTGTACTAACAAGTCTTGACTTATACTCAAAGATCTCTATGACAGGTTCTCTTCGATTGGAGTGACTCCCGCAATTAGCTAAGCTAATGCAAGGCTATGTAGAAAACAGATGGATGTGATGGTAAAAGTTTATTCGGATGATCTTATTTTTGGGATGTTGTATATCGGCTGTGTGTATCAACTGGACAAGATCTTAGTCTTTATATATACTTTCGACTATGATGAACACGCAATGACTTTGGTTATTGATTGATCGAGAGGTCTCCTTAACCGTGACCTCATAGTTTGATAGTCATGAAGCTTGGGATATTTGGGCGCCCATAGCTTCAGGAATTCTGACATGTTCCCCTCAATGCTGAACCTCTGGAACGCTTTTAAGGGGCCAAAAATGAAGGGAAATGCTCGATCAGTCGGTAGGAGAAAGAGGCCTTTTGACCGCGACGAGTGCAAGAAGATTTGGGTCAATATATGGAAGGCTTTGGAACTATAGATTTAACGGTATTTACTGGCATGGTGGGGTGAATTTGAGTTTAATGTCTTTTGAGAATGTTGGCAATATACCAAATATACTTCAAAGTTTCTATTTTAGACATCTAACTGTCTTGAAAAAATTAACGAAAATGTTCCCAATACTTTAGCGAATAACAAAACACGCTATTGCTACCAACGGCTAGCTCCACTGAAGTATGCTGAAGATAAAACGTTTATTCCATGATTGCCTCAAATTCACTTACAAATCCAACAAAAATATGTTTATTAAATGAAAAAATAGGCCGTATAAAAGTTTTATGGTTAAGAAAATGTGCTTAAGATTATTATCGTGCATAGGGGTATTTATCATATCTTTGAAGTAGCCAAAAATAAATATACAATGCTCATTTAAACGTCATTTATTCATTAAGTCAAAAGCGTACTAAAAATGTAAATCATTATTTTATTATCTCACAGATTAGTTTGAGCAATGCTAATTTGTTTGTTTTGTAAGATTAATGTAATTAAAGTCCATTCCGTCCATGTGTAATACTTTAAATGGCGTTGGATGTGTTCGTTGGCTGTGTTCTTATAATTCTACTATTCCACTAAAATGCTTTCTACAATAAATATAAAATGTATATGAGGCAATATAGTTTCCTGTTCATTATTGTGGTTTATGTGTTTGCTGAAAGCGATGATTTATACGAAAGGTTACATGTGTCTCGTTCGGCTACATTAAAAGAAATTAAATCAGCTTACAGACGCGAAGCAACTAAATGGTAGGAGTCCGTTTAACCTTATTCGTGATTAGGCATCCTGATAAGAATCGTGGCGAAAATGCAGAGAAAATCTTTATTGAAATAACAAAAGCATATGAGGTCTTATCAAATCCTCGTAAACGCGCGAAATATGATGCCTATGGCGTATATGATCTCGAAGAAGATAAACATAACGAAAATCGATCACCAACACCTCGAGATATATTTGCTTACTTTTTTGGTGCACACTTTTCTCCATTCGGTCAATTTCAAATGGACGAAAATGTACAAATTGTAAACTTCCACAAATACCGTGAGACCTTTCTTCCGACAAGTCGTTCAGCTCCACTTTTGCTTCTTGGAATTTCTCACTTTTGCTTTCTCTGTCGGCAAATTCAACCCCTCTGGTCAAAACTGGCAAATCGTTATTCTGACTTGGGGATTAATTTTGGCATCGCTAATATACAAGATGATCAAGCTCTTAGGGAAGAGCTCAATGTTTTACACTCTCCAAGTATTCTTGTAGTTGTTGACAGGAAGCCAACTTATTTTATGAGCTCGGAGTTTACTGAAGATGCTGTAGTCGAATTTATTGTCGGGGCTCTTCTTGATACAGGTCCACTACGCTCTTCCCCTTTATTAGAATTGGATAAGACTGTTCTGGCTACGCCTCTAATCACGTTTATCAAAAGCGAAATGGATTTATACACATTCCTGAGTGGATACACCGAAGATAGCAAACCTAGAACTCTGCTTTTTGATGCTGTGACTCGACCATCCCTGCGGTTATGTCTTGCAGCATTTCGGGCCTTGGATCACCAGGCCACAGGATTCATTGACACACGAAGTGAAGGCACTAAGTCAATTCTTCGTAGATTTGGTTTAGCGGAAAACCAGGTAGGTCATCTGCCTTTTATGGTTATCTTCTTATTATTGCTATTATTATTATTTTATGTGAGTTATTTGCCCACCAATTAACACACAAAGTTATATTCCTCGAATGTGGCTTTTCAATTTTCAGTTATCACGATTTAGAGTTGTCGATATTCTCAGATTATTATGTGTTTTTTTACTGCTTCTGAATCGCTATTTATTGTTTGTGCTAAATTTGTGAGTGAATTTTGGGTTTTATACCCATTTCCTACTGATCATTCTTAATTCAAATATCTACCAACCAAGTAAGTCAGCCTTCATTTACGTTTCAATGATCCATTTAAAAAATAACGTTATATGAGTATCAAAAAGAATCAGATTTAGCAATAAGGTCAAAATTATTGACTTGGTATATCAAACTATCTAATCTTTTTGTGAATATGTTCAGAGCAAGTTTCGGTAATAAACTCAGTCAAATATTGTAGTTTGAGCCTTGAAATGTTAAAATAAATTGAATTCAAATGGATTATGGCCATCCACGACTTACTCGCTATTTACTTCAGATTGGACTGCTTCATTGTTTATCGTCTAATTGCTTTCCTATGCATGAATATTTATTTATTTCAAATGGCAGGCGTTATGATAGGTATCATTAGCCCTTTAGTTGACTTCGGGCTTCATAGAAAGGAAGATGAACATCAAAGTGACAGAGTCGAGAGGGGGACAGAACAATGATTCACAGATGTAAAAGAGATAGACAGACACAAAGGTAGAGAAAAGGTAAGGTAAGATGAGTACTGTGGAAGTAGTCGAATATGACACCGTCAGTGGGGTGACGGCAGTTTGAAGTCAGAAATCAACTGCCGGTTATAGACTTTCTTGTCGTATGAGTATACGTTGCCCAGTGTGCACCACGTGGATGTAAGTCTATCGCACACCCCGCAAGGTTAAATATCATCTGATCTCCACATCACAATAAGTCATTAAGCATATGAAACATTTATGTTAAGTGGTTTGAACTATTCTTTCAATTAATAGACTAGTGGCATGAATTCATCATGAATCTAACCCATATATCCTCAATTTCAGACTAATTGTTCCGAAGTTGCTGGTGGTTATGGTGGCGCTATTCAGATCAATTCACCGAATTGATTTAGTTCCTCACTGGATCATTTCAAATTGACAAATTTAACCTCACCTTCCCGACTAGAGTAGATTGTTTAAGATTTAGTGGAGCAATTTTGTGCAAACTTTTGCTCTAAGTTACACCTTACTGGTTAGTTAGTTTATGAATCCACACAATCTGCTGTCGATATACGCAAGCATTTGTGTTATTACCTGGTGATTCTGTGTGGTTGTTAATTGCCTACAGACGTGCTAGCAATGAAACAAATAATAACACGAAAAATTAACGGGGAGACTATATCACTACCGCAATTTTGACCACATTGGAAGGAGTTTTTGAAGAATTTAAATTAGGTGGCTACGCGCTCAGTTGGGCATCCACTTCACTAGGTCTGGATGTGGGAGATGAACACAAGTCACGTGATGTTTAGCTTGCCAGACATGTGTGTTAACCTCTACCCCCACCGCCCCTCGGCGCATGTCATGCCAAGTAGACACTCATATTTCCATATTTAACAACGCAACGCGTTACCATTGCAGCAACAGTTGCTTAGTTCATGCTTTTCAGCAAGGAACAAAGTGGGAGGGGGGGGGGTAGTTATATTAGAGAGGTAAAAGATCGGGTGAAACGTGCAAGTCGTGCTGATTCATTATTTGATAAATATCTGCAAGATTTGGCAAGTAATGGCACAGAACTTCCACCTAGTTATCACTGCTGTGTGCTGAGTTTGGCACGAATAAAACTGATGGTATTCTTCGTTAAAATATCAGTCTAAGATCCTCTCCACTTGGTGGGGGGGGGGGGGGGGGGGGGGG